GAGGTCAAAATAACCCTAATAGAGACGTTACCAAAACAAAGTAACTAAGGCCCCTGCGTCTGCACCAAAAAAAAAAAACTATAATGAAGAAGGAAATAAATCAGCTCCAGCATTATGTGAAGAGGACGATTCAGCACCTCCCAGTGGGCCTTATTTACTCACTTAGGTAAGACTGCTTTATGCAGACGAGAACTGGGGTACAGGCACAGGTGGGGGTGAGAGGAGTCACAGGAGACACAGCGGAGCAGAACCGGTGGATCTGCTGACGCCCACTGCTGAGGGGCCAGCGGGGGGCCCCGAGGGGCCTGCTGCGCCCTGGGGTCGCCCTGGCCGGGGTCACCCGCGCGCTGCGGTGGCCACGGACACCCCACAGCGCTGCGCTGTAACTGCGGCACCCCAGGAGCGCCCAGCAAGTTAGATTTATGCCAGGGATGCAAAACTGGTTAAATATTTTAAAAAATCAGTCATTCACCCTATTTATAGAATAAGAACAGTGCCGTGATCGCCAGTAGACGCAGAAAGGCCTTTACCACGTTAACACCAGTGTTGAGGAAGGGTGTCCTGGGGAGGACGGGGCGTCCTGGCCCCCGGCGGTGCCTGCGGGAGAACGAGCTGGCTCTGCACGTCTGGTGTAGGCAGAGGTATCCCACCACTGTCATTCAGTGCTGTACGAGCACTTCCAGCTAGAGCAGCAGGACAAGACAAGAAATCCAGGCATCAAGACTGGAAATACAGAAATAAAGCGACCCATTTTCAGATGGCACGGTTGCTCCCTTGAGATCGCTAGACAGGGCCCTGGTGGCTTGGGATTAAATCTCAGCACTACGAAGCTGTGGCCATCTCCCGTGGCACAAGTTCGACCCCCAGGCAGGAGGCTGCCCCACAGGGTGCAGCAGACCTCTCGTCTCGCCGGCTGCACCCGTCTGCAGATCTGCCTGCTGTGCTCCCAGCTCTGTCTCTGGTGAATCCTCTCACCGCCCCCCCCGAACCTCTGGCCTACACACCAGTCCCTGTGTGCATAAATAAATAAATAAATCTTTTAAAACACTAGATACAGGGCCCTCCCTGGGGGCGCAGCGGGTTAAGGCACTGCACTGGGAAGCTAAAGCCGCTTCCGCATGAGTTCGATCCCCGCCTGCCCCGGAGGTGACCACATGGTGCAGCAGACCTCTCCTGACCGCCC